TTTGATTTCTTCATGCAGGACGAACAGTCATGTCAGTATTTTGCCCCTCAAAGCCCTCTCACCTCAGTGTGAAGAAGAAGGTGCGTATACTGGGAACCCATTTCTTCACAAAGTGTTTAAAATAGACGAGAATTAAGCACTTTCTAATTTCATTTGTGATATTAATAACATCTGGCAATATTTAGTATAGTTCTGGGGACATTTTTTTTCACCACAAGAGCCTCACTATGTGTAATGCATTATGTAGACAGAAAGTCTTGGGGACTAACATTTTTCGTCTTTGCGACAACTCCTGAGCGATATCCAGTCATGTTTAGTCATTTCTTCAATTTTCAGGTTTTAACAGTTTAGCAGACTTATTGCTTTCAGTTAAGAATTACTTTCAGTTTCTGTACAGCTTTTTTTCTCGAAACCTCTACACTGGCTTGCAATATGCAAGGCTTAAAATAATTCTTTTCTGATCGTGTATGGCCTTTTCTTTTTCTGTATTTGAAGTGCTAGCAGATAGAAAGCCTTTGATAGGGACTTATGTTAAACATATTTTTACGATACCTACTGATTTTTGCATATTTTCACACATTTTTTTGAAAATATTCAAGTAATTTCTTAGCGAATTCTGGTTGTTTTGATTTCAAGTGTTTTTCAAGTTTTGAAGGTTTTATGGTATCATTAAATAAACTCTGAGAACAGGTAAATACCAAAAGGCTGCGGATTCAGCTAACTACCAGGTTCTGGAATAAATCCAAATTTCAATTAGTCTGAATTGCATTTTCTTGTTATTTTGAGTTTTTTCCCATTGTGTCTCCAGTTTGAACGTTCTTTCTAATGCTGTCTGACCGTGAGGAAGAATGTGGATGCTTTGATTCATTGATGAAGTAATAGTATTTTCATTAGTTATTCAATCTTTAGTTTTACTAAAGAAATGCAAAATATTCGCTTGCTTTTTCTCACTCATCTATGCATCTATTATGTATTGTATTTGAATCTGAAAACCATAAAAAAATTTAAGAAAATTATTAATAAGTGAAAATGTCAGTAAAAAAGTGCATAAATTATGTCCTAATTCTTCTGCGGACCATCAAAATTTTTCACGGACCACCGGTTGCCTACTGTGATTCTAGAGAACAACAAGCAGAAGATTATTTTCAAAGTTATGAAGTCCTACTATCAAAAATGTGCTTATTCATGGGCATAGTACAACCATCTGAACTTGGCCTACAAAATGGTAATAAATTGGAACAACTACCTGTGGGAAGTATATATTCATATCATTCTAAACAAAGCTTCTGCTAAAATGGGAGGCCATAACAAAATAGTAGAAATTGATGGAAACCTTTTAATGAAGTGCAAAGCAAAAAGGATCAAATTGTAACTACTTCCTAATCTAAAGTGTTATCTAAATATATTATAAATATGTTCGATGTATCTATTGTATTTTATAATTTTTAATGCGTTATTGCCTATTAAAAGTTTTGAAGTTAATATTAATTGAGTGTTAAATGTAATTCATAATTTAATAAACTTTATAGAATGGAAGATGAATGTAAAACACTATAGAAATATTATATTTATGTCACTGTAAAGCCATCTTATTTTTTCAAAGTAGAAATCTTAAAAAATTAACCATGCTTTTCCTATAATCATACCTCTTAAATAAGTGCTGGATGTAGTGATTACCACAGCACAGGAACACAAGAAAGATATGCCTGTAATTCTTTATACACCTTTCACGAACACAGATTTTAAAGGCAACTCAAGAAGAGGACCATTTTTTTCATTAGAGTTATTAGAATCTTGAAAAATTAACCATGCATGCCTTCTCTGGGAATTAAACCCAAGACCTTTGAGTTGCAAGCTCGATATACTGTCTGGTAGACTAGAATGACTTAAGAAATGTCTTTAAACCTTTATATCATCGATAGGATTCTATGGAATAGCCCTGGATTTTAGAGCAGTATCCGTTTTCAGAAAAGTTCCAAATTCTCTTGTCTATAGGAAGTTTTTTCAAGCAGTGCAAAAAGGAAAAATGCTGGTGATAGTATTTTGTAAAAATATTTGGCTGAACAGCATTGCCCAAACTTTTATTCATTTGGCTTGAAGCAAATTAATTATCTTTCATATAGCCTAGAGCTAGCACCAAATGATTTTCACTTTTTTCTGCTTATGAAATAGACAGTAAATTTCTTTAAGAGAACTTTTATATACAAATTTCTGCTCTATTATGACAAATGTCTTATAAATTTTAAGAATTATATAAAAATAATAGTTCAAAGAAGGAAAATCTATCAGTATTAATTTTGTTTCAATCTTAGTCTGTTTTTTTCCTCCTACATAATTAAACAAGACTTGTATAAAATTGTGCTTCATAATGATTATGATTAATTAGTATGATTTTATTAGTTGTAAGTGAAACTTTGACAGAGATTATAAATTGGCTTGGCTGCATGTTTTCATAATTTTCCTCATTTGAAACAAATATGAGACAGTTTCCCAAAAAAGTGTCTGTTTATGCAGACAGTGCTTTGTGTGTTTTTCTATATTCAGTTAAACAAACAAAGCTATTGCAGTGTTACTGCTAGGGCTTTGTTTATGCAAAAAAATACTGTTCATTTTTATGTATCTATATAGTTGCTAAAAATTTCAACTTTTACTCTCCTGTAAATCACACTATTTTTAGACAAATATTTAGAATTTTCATGATTTTTCATGAATTTATTTTTTTAAATGCTTAAACTTTCTTATAACAATAATTCTTAAATCTATATTTGCATATCAATTGAATCACTAGTCATTTGCAAAGAATGAATTAAAATTTCCTTTCATGTTTTCATTTTAATATGAAAATGCTCAGAAAATGTTATAATTTTTCTATTTAAATAAGGAATCTAGTACATGTTACTGCATGTTCTGGTAATTTGTTCTGGATTTAGTTTCAAAGGAGGTTTTTCAGGCAGTTTGCCAAGTATAGCATGAATGTGTGTCAACACCCCCCTCAAAAAAGCATATTTTTCCTTAGGTAGCCACTGCATACTTTACAGTAATCAATTAAACAAGTAAATATGTAGGCTAATTTTTAAGTAAGGTGTCTTTGTAAATGCCATTTGAAATTCCACATGTACATGAGAAAGTGTGTGCATGCAAGTTTCCAGCATTTTTTGCACAGAATCCAACACCATTTGCATTTATGGCATCAGTTTTTACATTTCGTAGTGTGAGGCTAAAATGCGTAAAAATATCAAGTGTTCTGCCAACTCTTTAAAGTGAGAAACATGAAAGCTGTGGATATACAGATATGTAATGAAGTGTATGGTGACAATCAGGACTGGCACTAGGCCTTTTTGCCACTTCAGTGCAAATTCTACCCTCCAGTTCCTAAATTGTAAAAATTTTGCCTTCCTTAAATTCTGCCGCCTAACACAGTTGCATCAGGTGCACCGGCCCTGGTGACAGTGCTGTGATTGACAGTAAAGTGGAAAAGTAGGTGAGATTGTTCAATGAATACTGGAAAAAAGTCCATGGCGAATCACACTATGGTAAGCACTGATAATTTAGTGCAAGCAGTTGAGACCAAATTCATGCAAGTAGAAAATTTGAGTAAATGGCATGGATACATTAAAACCATTGATAGGAAAACAAATAACCATAAATAACTGGCTGTTTTGTGTGCAGAATTCTCTGAGGAGGGTATCCAGTTTGTTACAATTGAGTTTACAGATTAAAATGGCAAGGAAATTATGCAGAAAAATAGAGAATTGTGTCTTAATTCAGGAATACTGCAAAATTAACCCTTTTGTATTTAACCCTAACGTATTAACCCTGCTTAACCCTCTAAGCTGCAAGAATATTTTTTGTGATATCTGTAAGAATGTAAATATGCATGCATATTGAAATATGTCAACGAAATTTAAGACAATAATATCAAAAGAAAATAGATCCAGGTATTAAATAAATACCAGGAGAGTTTTTACATTAAAATAAAAAAAATACTTCGTTCTCATAGTAGTTTTGGGAAATTTGTGCTTTCTTAGCGAAAATCCTGGCTGCTCAGAGGGTTAAAAAGTAACCTTTTCTTTATTTAAACTACTGAATTTTTCAGCCTTTTAAAGATAAAATAGAAATTTGCAAAAAATAGGTTAGCTGTAATGCACCTATATTTAGTTTTATAGTTTTGCACCCAATTCCTCAGGAATGTTTTAGATGAAAATCAAATTCTGAAATATATTTCTTAAGCTCCCGTATGGTACGATAAGTTGTTTTCTATTCAGTAAGCAAACTTTATATTAATAGTTGGAGATTCCAGTTAAGAATAGAAAATAATTATAATTTTAAAACTGTCTGTTTTTTAGTGTAATTGATTCCTGCTTATTATTTTAAAATGCTTAATAAGTTATATGCTTACAGATATCTTCTATTTTATTTTTAGGTAATGGGCCCATAATTTGATTTTTCATTTAATATTTTACAGCTTTTCTTTAGTGCAATGTTTTCAAGCAATACATATATCTATTTCTTTATTGGTATTTCACTAATTCCTGGTTTATGGATAGACTTAAATTATCAAAATATGAGGTTTTATTTCAGATTTCCCAGACACTGCAGCTAAATGCTACTTTTGATTCAGATTTTGGTGACTTGATTCATTGGATTCAGATTTGATGACTTAACCTTTTTTATACTTTTTTTTAATGCATTAGAATTTCTTTCTGTTGAAACTGTCAAATAAATTGTTCCATTCTTTCTCCATTAAAATTAAATAACTTTTCTATTTGTTTTTATTTATAAAATGAAACCTTCTAGAAATTTACTTTTAGTATAATATAAATTTCAGAATAATCTGTGACTAAATTTAATCCTTAAACTGACAAAGAATTTTCGTGGCTTTCATTTTGTTTTTGAATTTTTTATTAACTTTTATCATTGTAGTAACAGTTGAACTTGTGAATTTTATTTTCATGATATTATAAATTGTGTTATTATTAATTTTTTATTTCCTCTTTTAGCTGTTCAAATGCCCCAACTTGAAGGTGTTATCTCTGAAATACAATTTTTTGGAAGAGTTACCACCAGATGTTGGTAAACTTCAGAAGCTTGAATACTTGGCCTTGACTAATAACAGACTTCAGAATTCATCTATTCCGTACACTTTGTCTTTTTGTACCTCTCTAAGAGTTTTATTGCTTGATAATAATCTGCTTGATGCTTTGCCTGGTTTCTTATTGGTGATACCAAATTTAACTACTGTTCATCGTCATGGTAACCATAACTATTTTAAGGCTACATTCATGTGGTATCACACAGATGTGAATGAAAGAATTCTTGCAGTACCTGGATGTTCACCATGTGTGCATGAATTACAGACTCTGAAGATGCTATCTGCAACAGCGATTATTGCAGCTAAAATTAACTATTTTGCTGGTTCATATGTTCCTTCAATGCTCATAGATTACATATGCAGTATTTATTTTGACTTCAATGTGTGTTACAAGTGCTTTTCTGCAAATCTAAAATCTAGACCAGGTATTTATCTTAATCTATTTTTAATTTTGTCATTTCTACCCCCCTCCTTTTATGTATCCACACTAATTATTATATAATAAAATATAAACTATTGAGTGGTATTTAATGCAGGAATAAGAATGAAGTAGCAGAAAATTATTGCTTAGAGCTTGCTGCATGTGAAATTTTTAAAAATATATGATTTACTGAGCATACTTTTGGAAAATACTTATCAAAAAATTAAATTACTGAAGAAAACAAGTAAAACATGTGCGACTTCTTTAATTTTTTAGTCACCATAACTGAAAGTACTTAACTGAAAGTGCTAATGATATATCGTTTTGTTGAAACAGAATATTTTGAAAAAGAAAATATTTTTTCATTGTATTAATTACAAATTATATGCTCTTATAATTAATTATATTATATTGTAATGTCCTTGGATTTTGTAACATTTCATTTTACAATTAAAATAATACTAAACAATAATTTTTGACTTATTTTCTGTATCTCAATGCTAATTGTGACAACTTCTGACACAATGCTAATTGTGTTTTTGTCTGGGATTTGATATTTAAGGTGAAAATGTCAGTGAAATTGAAAAATAACAATTTTCAAATTAGTTAAAAATTTAAATGCCTAAAACTTCAGTTTTAGATTACAATTTGATTAAAGTTTTTGGGCCTCATTAGGCAGTTGATTGCCAAATTGCCAAGCTTCTCAAGTATCTCTGCATTTAATTAATATTTTCATATGTTGCAAAATGTATTTATCATAAAATTAGGAAATAAATAGAAAGATAAGTAACCCTATTTTTTTTAAGTTTCTAGTAAAATTAATTGTAATTAACTAACATTTGTAACAGGAACAAACCATTCACATTCTATAGCTATAGCATTATTCTTGATTAAGTATATTTCCAGATATCTTCAGTGCTTAAACTAATAGACAATTTTAGCTGTCCGATTTGTGTTGAATGTATCAAAATTTGTACAAATTGCTTTATTTTATTTTAGGAGACTATTTAGCTGTCATTCAGTGTAATTAACTGTGAAAGAATACTATGCTTCACTCAATTATTATAAACTTATACATCAGAATTATCATTTTCAGTAAATTATACATCAGAATTATCATTTTCAGTAAATTTATACCACTAACTGCATCAAATGTGTGAAATTGTTTCTGTTTCAGATTTGGCAGTTTTTTATAATTATAATGTCACAGTATTCAAGCAGTTTCTGTTGAATTAACTTTCTTATTGAATTTAAAAATAAATTTGGGAAAATTTGGAGTAAGGTCTGATAATGTATTTTGGGAGGGGGAGGAAAGAATATGTTTCTTCAGTAATACTCTTGGTTATAATTAAACTTTCTGAGAAATATTTTACTAGTCATAAACATCTTCTTTCTTATCTGCACCAGTATTTAACTCCTTTTTAATTTAAATTCTTTCAGTCTCAATGATATTTATTTTAGTTTTGTCTAAATAGGTATTAAAATATAAAAGATAATGATAAAGTTAAAAAAGGAGGGGAGGTTTTTAACACATTCAAGGGAACAAAGATAATATAATCTGTGTAGTGGCCACAGTGAGTTTTTAAGATCAGGTATGTTGGTGGACTAAAGTTGCAATCTCTATCTGTAAACAGAAAATTTCTTCCATTAGGAATGCAGCTTTGCTAGTAGCTGGCCTTCACTTAAAGAGTAATGAATTCGCTGCTGAAGTTGCCTATACTACTTGCAAATGTTCCCAAACAATGGATAATTTCTGTACTGTCTAAGGAACTGATACTAAATGCAGATCGAGATTAAAGAAATTGTGACACATAAAAAGACTTTTGTTGTTTTTTATGAAGCCAGAGTAACAGTTGTGCTGTTTCCTTGTAATAGTCTTAAACTTGGTTTTATTTTTGCATCAGATTTATTAATTCAATACATAATCAAGAATTGCAGAATTATAATTATATGATCCTTTTTCAATAACTATGTATCTCAGTTCTTTTTTCAATAACAAAATTTATCCTTTTTCATAACCATATATGTTTAAAATTAGGTAAAAAAAAAAAAAAGCCAACTTAGATTGTCACAGCTTTAAAAAAGATTTTATCTGTTATAAATTTGATTAAGCCAGCCATTCAACTCATTTTTTAAAATGAATCACATTGCACCCTTCTTGTGCTTGATATTCTAATTATTTGTTGTAATTTTTTATTTTAGCACTACTGTTTACTTGCCTCTCTGTATGAAATCATACCTCTCTGCTAATAAGAAAATAACTTCATTTTACTGTAATATAAATCCCTCTCTCAAGGTTTATTTTATTTGAAATTGATTGCTGTTGATAGATGCTTTTCTATCATACTAAAATGATAAAGCTTTTAAAATATTTCTCATCATGAAAGACATTCTGCTCTTAGAAATAACCATAAAAACCTTGTTTTCATCCCAGTCATTTTTTTCTCACCTATCAGTAAAATTTGTAGATTAATTCTTAATGATCCCTTTTTTTATTTTAATTCTTGAAGAATTGATATTTCTTCTGAATGTGGTTTGATATTAGTCAATCTAAATGAGTTAAAATTTTGCATCAAAGAACAGGAATTAAATGTTCCAAGAGAAGAATTAAACAAATCTTCAATTGTTAATCATAGTTGATCATTTAATCACAAATTTGACTTCCTGAAAATTATCTACAAAACTTCTTCATTTGGTGAACTGCATTTTCTTTGAAGGCCTTTCACATTCATAAAAATTTATCTCCTTTAGTAAACGAATTCACTGAAGTTGATATACACTTCTTTCCAGTCCTCTCAAAATTTTAATGTCTGCCTGAGACTTTTTTGCTTCTAAAAAAAAAAAAAAAAAAAAGGATTCTGTGTAAAATTGTTTTGAAATTAGTAGATTATCATCTAAATTTTGGTCTAATTTGAAATTCTTCTAGTTAGAATCGTGTATGTAATAAACATTTAGGAACTAATACCCAAGAAACTTCATATTCTTCAGAATATTTTTTAATGAAGGTACTTCATATTTCATTATCACGAATTCTGAAACTGTTTATTTACTTTCTTACAGAATATTTTTGAATGAAGGTACTTCATATTTCATTATCACGAATTCTGAAACTGTTTATTTACTTTCTTAGGATATAAAGTATATACCTTCAAGAATCCTTACCTAGGAAACACATGTGTGCCTTTTCAACATTGGGCATGCAGTCTGCAGTGTGCTGAAGCTATTGAAGTGCCAGCCAGAGAAGAACAGCTTCTAACTGCAATGCAGCAAGACAGAGAATATTACCAAAAAATACAAGAAGCGATGAATTCTACTCTATACCCACAAAAAAACACTATTATTAATCTCTGTTGCATTCTGTGATCAATACGTCTATATATATTTGTTTTTATAATTTATTATATGTGTATCAATGTATATGTGCAATTATATATAGGATTTAGATATTGTTATTAAATTACCAAAATATATGTAATATACTTAAAAACTTTTAAACAGTACTTTATCTTCATGTATTTGTGTAGTTGCAATATATGAATATATTAAAATTTGCCATTTTAAATTTATATTTTAGTGAATTATACAGAAGTTCTAATAAATGCATTTGAAAAAGATATGCATCATTTTATTTAAAGAATAAAATAATTTTGTGGAATAATAATTTCATAACAGAGTGAAAAATTAAAAGAATATGTTTATTATATGTAATAAAAACTGTAAATTTTAGTGAACACAGCTTGCAATATTTAACATATACAAAATTAAATATTCAAAAGCTCAGTTTATTTACTGTATCACAATTTGTTAAAAAAAAGTTTAACATGAGATTAGTTTGAGAAAATAGAATGTATTCCTTCCTTTCTCCTCTCTGTTGTCTTAATTATTACCTTATACAATTTTTTATTGACTTGTGCAATTTTTGATTCCTTTAATCCTGAGCTAAATACTGTAGACTTTCAAGTGCATGGAAAAGAAATGTTTCTCTTTTTAATTATTACTGAAAAATAAATTAATAGATGATGCAGAAATCTGTCCGAATAGATTTCTGCAAAATAATATGTTCAAGAATGAACATTTTCTTTTTGTTTGTTAACATATTTACAGCTAATAATATTTTTCACCTTCCTGATATGAAAAAGTTGGTTATCTGCAGACTTCTGCTTTTAAAAATCTTGCTTCTTAAAAAACAAATTATCCATTGAATTTTGCTAGTTGTTGAAAATACTAAAGCAACAAGAATTTGCATAAGTTGCATAAATGTGCAGGACTAGTTTCAAACTCCTGCAGTTGAAGATTTTATTTAACCTCCAAAACTAGTCCAGCAAATTTATGCAACTTAATTGATTCTTATTGCTTTAGTATCTTCAACACTTGCCGTTTGACTTGTTATTTTAATTAATAGTTTATTTGGATTTGTTCTATTTCTGCAAAATTGCAATGTAAAACACCAGGCAAAATGTAAAAACTGTAGACTCTGTTATAGTAAATTTCACATCATTATTTTAGGAAGAAGGACATCGTAGTGCCTTTCTTTCCAAAAATAATGTTCAGAATCAGTACCGTCTGATAAGGGTTATTTTTTGGGGAGCTGCATCAAATATTTTATGCTTAAATTTTTTTCTCCATACAATTTAACAATAGTTCACTATTTTTTTTTCCCACATTTGTGGCACATTTGAAAATATTACCTATTAGTGCCATCTGTATTAAATAATCTAATATTATTATTTTTACTTTGAAGGATCACTTCAAATACCTAGATAAGTGTTTCTGAACATGTAGGTTGCTACCCCAATTGGAGTCACAAAAATGTAATTCAGATACAACATGAATAATTAATTAAATTTATGTTCATTAGAGATAATATATATATATATAAACTTTTCTAATAATAAATTATATATATATCAAAAAGGAAATGTCAGAACTAAATTATAAGAAGTTTTTGTTGCTTCTATATGAAGTTTTAACCATTTCTTCTACAGGTAAGGAATTACCAAATAGAGCACATGTAAATTTAATGAAACCTTAAATTTTACTGAAATCTTAACTGAAAATTAATATGAGCAAAGATAAACTTAAAAAAAATTTTTTACAGAACATCACACAAAGCAAAATAACATTTTATTAATTTCCTCTGTTTGACACTTCAAACAGAACTTGTCAAGAGAAAAGTGTTTTGAAGCTTTAAACCAAGTTGATGAATGAGTTCCGAATACATATTTGTTCCTCTGAATCATTTGAGACTCAAAACCGCATTTTAGTTTCAAATCTTCTCTTTAAAACAACATTTTAGTAGTTCTCAAATGTTTAGATCTTTTCCCTATGTGTATTCGTACCCAAATGAAACCAGAAATTATACACAAATGCCAAGTAATCTAAAATATATAAAAATTTTTAGAGAAAACTAGAAAAGGTCTAAAAACCTATAAAAGACCAAACTAAATAATTACATAAACTAAATCACATCAAGAGAAAAGAGGAAAATCATGCATCAAGAATTAAATAATCATTTTTTTTTAGCCCAGAAATGCTATTAATCTCGTTTTGGAATTTTGCATTGATTCACTTTTCAAACTGTTGCCACCAAATATTAAGCAGTGTAGTTTATACACAGTGCCAGTTTAAAATATGTATCTATATGGTAGGCTTCAGAATGTGTTATGTTTTATTTTCAAAGGATTATCCTGGAAAAATAAATGGTTATTTTAAGATTTTATTTATATTAAACAGTCTTCATAAATAATTTAGCAGATAAAGCACCAAGACCAAATACAAATTTTTGATAATATGTCTGGATTTTGAAAGTATCTTAATGGAATCTGCTTATGCAATGTACACTGTGCAAGGAAAAAAAAAAAAATGTCGAAGTTTTAGCTCCTCAATGTTAATTGAATTTGGCATATATTTATTAATATCTCTTTTTTATTAACCTTTTTGACCTTTTTTTCCTTTCACATTTCGAAATTTAGGTTCATTCCAAATAAAATTTTTTTTTTTGTTTTATTTTTTAAATTTCTATTTTTAAATAATTTTATAAATTTTTCAAAAAAATTTTTGAATTATAACCTATAAAATTTTTACCATCATATTAAAGTAGGTGTAGTTCTAAGCAAGTATCTGCAAAAAATTAGAATTTTTTAAGATATACAGGAATTTACATTTTCGTGTTTTTAAATTTGGCATCCATCCTTTTTTTTTTTTTTTTTTTTTTTTTTTTGAGCGATAGTAACGCTAAATGTGGTTTATGAATTTTGATTACAGTGAATCGCCACAGCTATTTTTAAACTTAAATTTCAAACAAACTTTTACGGAGAATTAATTATATGAATTTTTGTCCCTCAGTGATGCGTAATAAATTATTAATACTATATGAAAAGCTATTTTTTTTAATTTATAGATGATATTATTTTAATTTCTTTTTTTCCTACCTTTTTTTTTAAAAATAATTTTAAATGTAAAGAGTAAATTTTTACCTTCGCTGTGTTATCGCCTGCTACTTTACTTTGACTGCATTTAAATTGAATTGTCTAAAACTGAGAAAGTTTGTTTTAATGTTTATTTTCACAATGTTTTTAAGCAAACAGGACGTTGATAGTTTGGGTCATGTCTCAGCTTTAAAAATTATATGTAAGTATAAATATTTACATTAATCCTCTTCGAAAGAATGTTTTAAGTAGCTAATTTTCTCTCGTGTTATAGATTGTTTAAAAAACATAATCTTTAATATGATTTTGATTGTTTGTAGTCGATATAATAATCAGTTCACTCAATGGTACAGAATAAACATTGCTGGAGTGTTTTATTTCTTTGTCATTTAACAAAAAATCTTTTAATTAAAATATTTATCCTTTGGACTTTGCTTTAAACTTTATTTATAGTTAAAATGCCTAGAAAATGAAAAGCTGTCTTCAACTGAAACGCAGTTGATGTAATTGATATTTTTTTAAAAAAAAATAACAATAATGTAAAATTTATGGAAGTGTAATAATCTAAAAATCTTAATTTTCTTGTGGTGAGGACTGAAAATAAATGTAGAATGAAAGAAGATAATTAGGGAGAAAAGTAAGCAAAAAATTGAAAGAGAATTTGGCTGTTAGAAATATCAAGGTGTTTCAAAAAAGTTGGATGCTTTTGAATGATGTGAAATGCACAGCTCTCTGATGCACGTGAAGTAAGATATAAGGAAAGGAATGTACAGAATGGGCAATATTCGTGTCATTATTTCTGCCAGACGAATTATCGAAGAAAGTTGGTTTTTGTTCCGTAGGATACGTGTAATAGGAGAGAATGGCCAGGTCGCCGTCAACAAAGGCACTTCCAGCCAGGTAGACAATTTTACGAGAGGTATAATGATCAGACTGAGAAGGGCGGGTTGGACCTTACGTCAAATCACAGCTGATACCCACATGGATGCGAGCACGGTGCATCAGCTATGGCGAACATGGTTGGAACAAGGAAACGTGGGAAGAAGGAATGCAGGTGCAGCCAGAGTGGCGTCAACACGCATGGATCATGGACCTTATAAGAAATAGACTAACCCAAACGGGTTTTCTCCCTCGTCTGAGGCATTGCTGGCTGTCACTTTGATCACATCCGGAGGAGTAGGGACGACTTGCAGAAATTTAACATTGGTTGCCTTATTGCAGCGTGTATAATTGTCAAGAGAAAGCTGGTTGTAGTGCCTCATTTCACAAATTAAAATTTCTACATATTTTTATTTTTGAAATTGAGATTGATTTTTAAAAATTTAGCATATTTATCCATCATAATTAATGTTCCAAATAATTATAAAGCTATTGCATGCTTTCAGGGCTGGATATTTTTCTAGGTTTTCCTATGATGTAAGGAAATTTGTAAATACTTCTTTTAGAAAATAATATTTTAAATCTGAACTAATAGAAAATTTCAAACAAGCAATTTTTGCTTTTTTTATGCTTTTTAGTGGTGTAAATAAGTAAAAAATACTAAAATATTTAAAAACGAATTTTTGAAAGTTTTGTTTAAAATTCTAAATTGTGCTGCTTTTTTAAAATTATAGATGAGTATTATAGCGCAATTTCTATAAAGGAATTTTATTTCAATTATATTTCATAATACAGCACAGTGATAAACACTTTTGACTCCTTAAAAATTTTTATACGTTTAATTCTAATATTAAAATTGTATTTAACCGTAATAATTAATTTTGCTTGTATTCTATAGTGATTATTTTTTTAATTTATTTTTAGTTCTGCATAAGATTTTTTTTTATTTACTGTTAATTTAATTTATTAGCCCAAAGGGGCAGTAGCCTAGAAAGGCTGTTAGTTTCGAAGCGGCATTTTGCGCTATTTTACTATAAATGTCCGTATCTCCTTGCAACTTTTTACCAAATATTGTCACCCTGTATTATATGTAAAGAAATTAAACAATGAAGAATCTGCATGAATACACGTATGTTTCTCGCGCTGTGACAAAAATGACAGTATCTAGAGCCATCAAATTTTGAATAATGTAATCCTCCACCTGAACATGGGCTTCTGGACGGCCGAATTTCGAATTTGTTTTAATCTATTTCATATTTTGTAAAATTTGTAAAACGAATTTTTGATTAACAAAGTCAACGACTTCA